AGGTCAACCCGGGGTCAAGTCTCCCATAATCGGTTCGAGGTCACATGGGGTCGTACCTACCAAGCTTCATCCATATCCGACAAATACTTCAAGTTATCCCACTTTTAAGGTTCATTATCACTTTTCCCGGGAAAGGTCAATTAGCACCAGAAAGGTCAACCGGGAGCTGAGACCTATAGGGGTCCTTTTTACCGGGGTGGGTTATACTACACATATAAGCCATAAAATCGATATGCCCTCGCGCATTATTTTTCGCAAATAGCCCATTAACACCTAAAAGGGGTGATATTCCCAAGTGCTAATAGCCCGTGCCATTGTCACCCAGTAGGGTCATCATCCTAATATACGATAGACCATGTCACTATCTACCATCCCTCCAAGTTTCAGCTCCCTAGGGTCATTGGGGGTCGAGAAGTAGCCTCCGGGAATCGTGTGGGGGTTTGTTTGTTTAGGGCATAAATCGGGCCGGGGTGACCTTGGAGATCTGGAATTCCAAACTTAAGCTTCCCTCATCCAGGGCTACCACATATTTAAAAATGAGCTCAATCGGATCATTAGTTAAGGGTTTCCGGTGGGGCCATTTGCACTTCCGGGAACCGTTATCACTCGGCCCCCAGGGGGTCAAGCGGGTCCGGCGCTTTGCATGCCCGGGTCAAATCATCTCTAGTATCACTCCATTAAATTTCATAAAGTTCGCCCCAGTAGTTCCCAAGTTGGGGGGAGTTGGCGGGAGCTATTGCATTCACTATTTTCACTAAAGAGGGGGATTAATTCCATGAACTTAAGCAAACACACGTTTAGTTCGATCTTAACTTAACCACTCTATTATTTACCAATCTTTACCAGACGCTATCAACGAATCAGCTCTACTACTACTTAGTTTGCATGTTCAAGGTTCAAAGAAAAAGCCATGTACGTTATACAGTAGAATTACCGATTCTACAAAGTCGACATGGGATGGGTCAACTTGACTCTGAAAGGTATGTAGTAGTGTGTAGTTTGTGAACCATCATGCTTGTTATTGTGTTTAACCAAACATTCTTTAATTCTAACTAATTCATAGCTTGAAATTTGCTTAACCATAAGTTTAACAGAAAAATCATGAAACTTAGACATCCAAAATCTGTTAAAACAGACTCAAACTCAAAAACTAATTGATCATCTTGTGATGGATAACCTTGCATGACTTAGCTGATTTACGCATCAGCTGTATAAACATCTGTGTCAGAGTGATAAATTGTATGGGTGGTGGTTTCGTTTTGGCCATCGGAGCGGTAAAGGAGAGTTTTTCAAGCGTGGAGTCTAGTTTGGGAGCATGTTAGCCAATAGTTGCAATTTCTGCAACTTCATTTTTTGTTCTGGCCACTTCTCGGCATGACGAAGGAGTTATGGCGCAGAGGTCCAGGGCGTTTGTTTTTGCCCGATTTTGACTACTTCAAAGAAAATACTTCTCATTTTAATTATCATTTTAACGCTCTTTCAAGCGTTATATAGAATATATTTATATGCGGGCTTCACTATCTTGCCATGTTTAAGCTTTTTCTACTATTATTTTTGCATGTTTAACGAAAAAAAGTTTTTGCACGTTAAGCTATATCGTATATTGCAATGGTTAAGATTTTTTGATTTTCCATTCTATTATATGATAAAAAACGGGTTTCATTATCTTGCTAAGCGTAAGCTTTTCATCGTATTATTTTTGCATGTTCTTTTTGCACGTTTAGTTTAAGCAAATCGTATATTGCAATGGTTAAGATTGATTTTTGATTTACAATTTTTATTCAGTGTTTTTTAGTCGAAATTGAATAAACGCAACCCAAAAGTGGGAAGCTGTCAGGGTTTGCAAATTGGGCCTCTAAATTTAAGTACCAATTTTTTTAGCCTACAAGATACGAAGATTCTTTCGATTTTTTCGAAAGTTTTCATAAAACATGTAGTTGAAAATTTTTACAAAAATTGAAATTCTTAACCCTGTAGTTACAGTTTGTCAGTGTACTCTCAGGGATAAAAAAATCTTGCCTCAAAATATGGCTGCTCAAATCCATTTAATTTGCGATATGTGACGTTTTTTTACGCTTTTTTCAAAAATTTCAAAAGACTTATATTTCAAAACTTGACATAAAATGAAGTTTTTAACTCCATAATGTGAGATGCTGTCAGTATAATTTCGGATATTGCAGATTGTGCCTCAAAATCTGACTGGTCAATTTTTTTGGTTTCCGAGATTTGACATCTTGTATGATTTTTTTTTCAAAAATTTTTTCAAAGAAATTTTATTAACATGGCAAAAGTTGAAATTCTCAAGTCTTGTGTTTGGGTGCTTTCAGGGTACTCTCAGGTGATTCAGATTTTGCCTCACCATATGAATGCTCAATTTTTTCAGCACACTTTCCTATAATGCTGTAATCTATTATATATTTAAATGCGGGCTTCATTATTTTTTTAATTTTTCAAAGAAACTTGAATTAAAAGAAAATAACGTTACAAAATTTGAAATTCGCAGCCTTACAGTGGGGTGTTCTCTCGGTACTCTCCAAGATTGCAGATCTTGCCTCCAATTTTTTGCTCAAAGCATCTTAGTTTTTGAGATATGCCGTTATTGGTTTCTAAAAACTGAAGATATTAATTCAATACTTTCAAAGTTCGAAATGCTCAAGACTATGGCAAGCTGCACTCAATGTCCTCTCTGGATGTTTGACTGGACGCTTATTGTGACTGCTCAGCGTCTTCTGTTTTCTTATATTTGGCGTTTTCATCTTTTTTGAAAATTTTCAAAAGTTTTATTTTTCAAATAAATACTTTTCAAATTTTGAAGTTAGTCGACCTTTTGGTGGTATGATGTCAGTTTACTAACAGCGGATGCATATATGGTCTCTCATCCTAATATTTTTGCTCATTTTTTCATTGAAATTACAATCAGTTAAAGAAAAAAAAGAGTCTGATATTTGAATATCATAAATATCAGGTCTTGAGGATTTTTTTGTTATTTTTTTTTGCACAAAAGGTCTTAAAATGCTTGAATAATGCGTGAATGCATTTGTGAATGTTCTCAGGTATATTTGTAATTTTTGAGTTCAATTCATGTTTCTTTGGTAAAAGAAAACTCAAATTACGCTTTGCAATTACGGAAGCGGACAGGGCGCGGAAAAAACGTGATCGATTTCTAGTTTCGAAAAGGGATTTTAGTTTTCAGATCTCCTTGCAGTATTAAAAATTTTGGGTTAGTTTTAAAGAAAAATGTGCTAATCATGAACAACTTGTACAATTCAAAGAGCTTTAACATGACGTATTTTTTTCTTCAAAAGTTGAGAAAAGTACAAATTTTAGCTAAGAGTAATGAACGTAGTGAGTACTCTTATATAGGTCTTGGTGATTTTTTTTTGTTCTTTTTTTTTCAGTAAAAGTGCTCTAATAACTATAGAAGTGCTTTCATACATATTAATGCTTTAATGAATGCACCTAGGTATATGTGCAATTTTTTGAGATACATTCAAGCTCATGTGCTAAAAGGTAGGCAAAATGCGCTCTCTGAATTTGAAAGCGTGTAAAAACGTGAAATTTTTTTGCGGCTTGGCTTGTGATTTTTAAAAAAAATTTCAGTGCATTTCCATTGTTCAAAGAAGGACAAACTCCGTAATCGAACGGCAAAAGTGTAAAGGTCCCGAATAACGTGATCGACGTATAATTTCGAAAATGGAAATTATTTATGAGAATTCTCAGCGAAATAAGAGTTTTACCTATTGAATAACTTTTCTCAAATTGGGTTAGTTTTTTTTTAATTTAAAAAGTGTCCATCATAAATTGTTCTAAAACTTCAAACAGCTTTCAGGCCATGTATTTTTTTTCTTTGATATTCAAAAGTTAGTTTTTACTTTCCTTGCGTTCATGATTCTTTTCCAACTGTCAGTTGGCTATGTTTTTTTTTCGGTTTTGTTGAGTTCTTTTACACTCAACGTTTTTTTTTACACTCAACCGTTTACCAAATCACACAATAAAAGTTACAGAAACCTTAAGTTTAAAGATGGTGATTTAGTGAGATTTCCTGATAAACTTTTGCAATTAAAAGAGCTTTAACTTGATAGTTTATTTTCTTCGAAAGTTAAAAAATGTTCAAAATTTTGATATCAATTTTTTTTTCGATTTCCTTGAATTCTTTTACACTCAACTATTAACCAAGTCACACAAAAAAAATAGAGAAATCGGAAGTACAAAGATGGTGATTTAGTAAAATTTCCTGATAAACATTTTTTTGAGGGATTTTGAAGATTGTTTGCTCGCCTATGGCAAAGATGCTAGGGTTAGAGGATTCCGACACACAGCTGATTTTTTGTAGTTCTATTTTTTCCATTTTTTCACCCTTGCGGGAGCTACTGTTTGGAATTTTTTTGCTTCTGTTCGCGAAATTGCAGCTTTACCTCTGTCAAAATATGTTGCGTTTTTTTTGTCAGAATCTCTAAATTGCACACGAAGACTTAATTTTCACTAGCTGTGTCTGTGGTATTTTTTTCTGGTGTATGTGAAGTGCAGCTTTGTATCTGTGTTGAACAGCATTTTATAGCTATCCTATTTGACAAAGTGCATTATGTGCTGCCTTGTGACTCAGAAAAAATTATCCATTTAAGTAATATAAAATGCCATGGCTCTGGCCAAGTGAAGTTTTTGTATTTTGTAGGTCACCAAGGTTTTTGTGTATTTACTAAACTTACTTTACAAGGGTTCAATTTTTCCTGGAAAATGTTGCTTCCCCCAAGATTGGCGTGAAATTTTCAAGTTTATTGCAGTTTGTTTCCAGCACGTGCAAATTTTTTTGCCCTCATTAAAAAACCTTGATAATAGGTTCGTTCGGCGACTCATGGATAGCTTCAACTTCTTCCGTAGGGATAAGGTTTGGTTGATGAAGGGATACAAATCGTGAGGGGAATAGTAAATCTTCAGAAATGTTTTAAAAAACAAAAAGTTTAGTTTAGGGCATCAATTTTTACGTAATTCTATCTACGCAGGTGCTGATGCTGATCTCGAAAGCTGACGAAGTGCTGCGACAATGGCAAGACATAGTTTCTCAGCCGATCCCTCCAGAGGTCATTATCACCATGGACCAGTGGTTGGCAGCCATCCGCAAAGTGCAGGCCAGAAATCGAGAGGACACTAATAGCCAGGCCAATCGTCAGAGACACTTGACAGTGGTTCCTGCGAATGGTTTCATGCCTGGTATGAATAACATGCAGGGTGGCAATTCATCTCGCGGACACGGTGTCAAAGGTGGGATCTGTTTGAAATTTAGGCTTGGGTTTTCAAAACTGTAGCGTTTCCTAGTTCAATTGAATTTTTCTAATGTTTTTCACAATTTTGGTAATAATTTCGTTCGTGTAGCACTTTCGTAATCCACGTTTAAAAAAAACACTGAATCAATGTTACATTTTTGGGGGCTTGATTGTGCAAAAATGAAATAACATTGGGAACCTTGATAGAACTATCTACACTTGCGATCACGAACCTTCTTTTTTTTCTAACCTAACTCGCAAATAAAAGTGTTCACTTATTTGGAAATTTCATTGTAGCATTGGAAATTGCATAGCAACTGTTCTCAGCTTTATTTGTCGCTAGTGTTTTGTGCCTATTACGCTTCCGTGGCTGAGTGGATAGTGTGTTTACACTAGCGTCAGCTTATTGTATTATTAAGAACCCTCTTTTTTTCTAATCTAAGTTGCAAATATTGGTGCCAGTTTTGGGGCACCTTTACAGCTTTTTGATAGCATGTGCTTTGACCTGTAGCGTTTCCTAGTTGAATTGAATTTTTAACTGTTCCTCACAATTTTGGTAGCACTTTCGTTTGTGTAGCACTTTCGTAATCACGTTCAAAAAACACTGAATCAATGCTACATTTTGGGAAAACACGATTTGAGAAAATTTCTAACTCAATGTATCTCACAATTTTTAAAAAATGCATAATTTATACATAATGTGGCTTTATGCTTCGCGATTTACATGCAAAGTTATTGTGGATTTCTTCAGTTTGTTATGATTCAAATTATTACTTGCAAAATTGTGTCTATTTGAGTGATACTGAAAATGTCTTGATTGCAGTAGGTGGCAGGTCGATTTGTATACCTAGCCGAATTTTTGCTAATTCGAGGCTTATTTTTGATTTTTTCTTATTGCAATTTCTAGAGCTGCTTTTTTCATGTTCTCGCAAGTGTTTGCTTCGCCTCTGTGTCGATGTTTTGTCAGTGTCAATAAACAAAATACAAAAACCATATGTTTAAGTCGGGTAGTTTGTATTATAGTTTTCACAGGAAAATTTGAAAAAATGTTCAGTTAAGTTTATTTTTTACGCGCTTCATGTTTGGATTTCTTGATAAGTTTATTTCACATTCATGAGCAAAATAAATAGCAAATTACGCTATCTCAAAGCAATAGTGTAAATGGCGTGAAAAAGTTGATTTCTAGGGTCAAAAGACGATGTTATTTTAATTTGAGAAAACTAGATCAAAAAGCAAATTGTTGGTTCCGCTGGGATGTCTAAACTTCAAAGTTTTCAAATCCTAGATATCTCAGAGGCATAAAAGTTTTGTTTATTGGTCCAGTTTATTCGAATTGGGTCAGCTCTAGCAAAAAAGTATTCATCACAAAAATTCTGAAAACGCTTAGAAGCCAAAAGTCGTTGAAAATATAGGTCTAAACAGCGAACTTTCTTATAAAGGTCCATATAATTTTTTTTTCAGGAAAAGTTTGCTCAGTTCATTTCTGTGGTTAAAATGAAGGCGAATTCACTATCGAACAGCAAAATTGTAAAGTTCACGATCTCAATTTTCAGTTTTGCTAGCGTAATAAACACCTTACTGCATTAACAGTTTCGCAACCCCTTGGAGAACCCTGACAGCCGCCACCATAGGGTTGTTTGTTTGAAATGTGTTGAAATAAACGCTGAACGAAAACGCCCGTTACATTGTATAGATGGATGATTCCCACCTTCACACTACACTGGGCTGCGCTCCTCCTTCCCTCCTATGATTAATACCATAATATGATTAAACAGGTTTTTTTAGCCTACGAAATTTTTGTTTTTTAAAGGTTAGATTTTCAACTCTATAGCGGTATTCTTATGAATTGCAAAATTTGCCTTCAAGTTTATTGTTCAAATGTATTTAGTTTTCGAGACATGATGTTTGTTTTTTATGGCGTTTTGTAAACATTTCATAATTTTTGGATTAAAAAAACTTCATTTAAATTGGAATTGACTACCCAATATTTGCACGCTGTCAGGGTAAACTCAGGGGTTGCTGATATGGCCTGCATACAAATGGTTGCTCTAACTCTAATGACCTCCGAGTTATGAATTTTTTGATATTTCAAAAATGGAAACAAGTTAGGATGGATTGTTGGAACCTTTTTTTTCAGATTCAACTATCTCTTAATCTATATAACTAGCCATCATTCCGTCTAGCAGTCCATCCTTCGAACTATCCCCTCATCAAGCCATCCATCGATCTTGTCAACCATACAACGATATATCCATCCACTCGTCAAGTTCTTCATTCATCAAGCGATCCGTACAACCAGCCATCCGTCAAGCCATCTAGCTATGAATCCATCTAATCAACGATTCTTTCAGCCATCAAAAAATTCTCAAATTTCAAAATTCTCGATCCTATGGCGGAGTCTTGTTAACTTTCCCAGAGATTCCAGATATTGCCTCCAAATGTGACTGCTGATATCATTTCATTTTTGAGATCCAACCCGCGCAGTTATCAATCCATCCATCTATTCGTCTAGCAATCTAACCAGCCATTTAGCTATTCTTTCATCCTTTTATCGAATAAGCTAGCCAGCCGTGTATCAGTCCCTTCATTCATATAGCCACCCATCTATCTACATTTCCATCCATCAATCCAGCCAGCCATACACTCAGCCATCCGTCTATCAAGACGTTCATTGTATGGTTTCATCCAGTCAATATTTTCAGCATTCATACATCTAGCCATCCATTCAACGAAACAGCCATCCATCGAACCATTCTTCTAGCGTGTCATCTATCTATCAATCGATCCAACCAGCTACCCATCCCGCCATCCAAACAGCTATGCATTCATCCAGCCATCCATCCAGTATGATAACCATCCATTCATTCATCCATCGATCATTCAGCCTTGTATCGATCCCCCATTCTTTGATCCATTCAACCAGCCATCCATTAAACCATCAGTCTTTTCGTCTATCTTGCTCTCCAACCAACCAGCCATCTATCCATCCAAGCAGCTATCCTTCAATTCAGCCCTCTCTCAAGCCATCCATTACTCGAATCAGCCATCCATTATTCAGACCAGCCATCTTTCATGCATCCATCGATCCCTCAATCCGTCTATACCCACTTCATGCTCCCATGCATCAAAACAATCAATCATCTGTCTAGCCATACTTTGATCCAGCCATCAATCCATGTAGCTATCTGCCCACCCAAGCAGCCATCTATGAAGCCATCCATCCATCCAGTCAACCAACCTTTCGATCTAGCGATCTAGCCCTTCATCCGTCTTGCTTACCATTCAAACGGCCACCCAGCTATTAATCTAGCCATCGGTACATCCTGCCATCCTTCCAATGATCCATCCATATCAGCCATTCATCATCGATCTAGCCATCCATACGTCCCGCATCTATTCATCCATAAAGCCGTGCATCTCATCACTAATCCGTACTGCCATGTCTGGTTAGCCATTTCTTCATCCACTCATTGTTCCAACAAGCCATTAGTTTACCTGGCCATTAAGTGGTCCCTCCATGCCGCCATTCATCCATGCATCCATCCATCTAGTTTTCCAGTCGGCCATCTTTCTAGACCTTATTTGATCTAACCATCCAGTCATTCATCATCTCATCAATTCAGCCATCCATCCAACCAGTAATCCATCAAGCCATTATACAGTGCTGATTTAAATTAACCGGACAAACGCGTTAAACTTGAAATTTAAAACCCATTTTCTCAAATTGGGTTGAGTTTAGGTGAAAATTTTTGAATACAAATCTTGCTTAAAATTTTGGCAGAATTAATATGGTGTAATTTGTTTTGCGAAATTCGGGCCCGAAATTTTACCGCAAAAATGGATCATTTCGGCTTTTCTTAGTTAATCAAAAATTACGCCGAAAATACCCAGTCGATCACAGACATAATTATATCAAAGGGAGCCTCTTACGTAGCCCAACAAACTTTATGACGGGTATTCTCTCCAAAAGAAATTTGGAAATTGTTTAAAAATTGTTTTTAAATAAAAAGTTGGTATTTTATATAGTAAAAACGACCTTTTTTGTCTATCAAACAAAAATAAATTAACTTATACAATTTTTTGGAGATTATACCCTTCTTAAAGTTTGTTGGGCTATGTAAGAGGCTCCCTTTGATATAATTATGTCCATGATCGACTGGGTATTTTTGGCGTAATTTTTGATAAACTAAGAAAAGCCAAAATGACCCATTTTGGGGTAAAATTTTTGGCCCGAATTTCGCGAAACAAATTACCCCATATTAATCCTGCTTAATTTTTAGGCAAGTTTTTTCTTCATAAGTCTTCACCTAAACTCAACCCAATTTGAGAAAAATGCGTTTGAAATTTCAAGTTTAACGCGTTTTGTCCGGTTAAATTAAATCAGCACTGTACATCTAACCAGTAATCTCTCTATCCAGCGATCAGTCAAGTCATCCATCCCTCCACCAGCAGTCTATCCATTCATTAGACAGCCTTCCTTGCGCCCATCCATCTTTCCAGCTGTCCGTCCATCCTTCCTTCAATTCATCCATTCGTCTAGCCATCAATCCATACATCCATTGATCCATCCTCACAACCTGCTAACCATCCATCCATCCAACATATTTTTCTGAGAAACAAATATTATCATATTTCAGGAGCAGCTTTAGCTACAGTGGGCTTGCTAGCTCTTCAGATCTTTTTATGGCCTCTATTTTTTACTTCGGAATTCGAAAATTATAATTTTTTCAGAAACAAGTTAGTGTTTCATTGCGTTTATTAACTCCTTTCCAACTGTCTGTTGGCTATGTTTGGTTTTCTTGAAATCATGGCCTTTTTGCCAATTACTGTCTATTTGCTAAGTTTTTGCATTTAGACCGAATTGCGTTGGGTCAAGCGGTGAAGGAACTGGCTGAAATCACTCGAAAAGCGAGGAAAATGCAATGGTTCTTTCTGCAGTTCACTCGAGAGGCCGTCCAGAAAATCCAGAATCACAGCAACGGTGTGGCCCAAGAGTCAAATATGTCTAGTATAAACGCCTTGCTGGCCGAGGCCACTGAGAAGCGACTGTTGGCAGAGGATAGTGAGGACTCGATTTTTGAGTCTTAACCGCGGCAGATTTGGAGCACTGCTGAAGGTGGGTTCTTCTGAACGTAAAAAGTTGTGGAACATTACAAAAATTGACACTCAACTGAAATTTTTGAAAAGCGGACAAAAAAAATTGTCCATAAATGTGTGCCTTATGTGATAGAAGCTAATAAGTTTAATATATAATATGTGCTAATAATTTATGTGCAATAGTGATTGTGTTTTTTTTTCATGAGCGCATAGTTTTCTTATCAGATGGGTGGCTAAAATTGTATGTTACATGCAAGAGAATTATATGTACCGTCTTTTGTTAATTTGAATGTAAAAATCCTTAAATTATGCTTTTATGTTCCAGTCTGCAGAGAAAAATTGCAATGCAAATTTTTAATGACCACATCTTGAAGATGTAAATTTTCGAAAGTCTTCTAAATTTACCTCAAATATTACTCGTCTTTGTCTTCGGTTTGTTTATACTTTCTTCAATCAAATAATTTCAAAGTTCTAACGACTTTTGACGCTCAAAAGCTTCAAATATCTCTTGAAACATAATCAGCGGGCATCAAACGTCAGAAACTCAACAATGATTAGTTTGCAGTAAAACTGTACTAGTAACAGCTGATTATTATAATTTCAAATCTGAGCGTCGCTTAGTGTTAGTTAAAAAATAAGACCCAAATTCAGTTTTGGGATTATGGAGCTACTGATTAATTGTATGTAACCAAGCTATCTTGTTTTGCTTTTTTCCTTATTTTGTAGTTTATCTTTAGATTTCCTTGTCTGGTTTTTAACCAGCTCTTCCTGATGCTTTTTGATCGTTCCTCCGATACTGAAATAAATACCTTCAATTTGCAGACATAATAATCAATGTGAACATTCAATTGTTCAGCAGGTTTCGTTTAGTCTCATTGCTTTGTTATTAAGTGCAGAAAATATTAAACAGCTGTAGTATCTTCGATGAGTTTTCCGAAGTTACGAAACAACCATGCTCAGTGAGTTAGCGCTACTATACAACTACTTCAGTATTAGTTATGACCATCATCGCATTATTTGCATATTCTGTTTGATAATTTTTCACAATTACCAAAAAACTTAATTAATTCTGTTAATTTAACTTCCATCGCCTATTTGACAGACAAGTATATTCGCTATCAAAGGGCGTAGAATTGTAATAGACTTTTGTTAATGATCATCTGCAAGTTAAATTCGATGCGTTAATGCTACTATTTCGTGCCATTTGAAATAAGAAAGCAATCAGTGATGCTAATACGTTTTACATGTTACCTGCATTTCTTTCTCAGGTTCTCTTATTTTCTTTTTGAATTAAAATTTCAACAATAAAGTCTGTTAAAAAATCATAGTTTTTAGCAAATGGAAGAGCCTCAGTTGTGAAAGAATACTTGTTTGTATAGCGTAAGTATACCAAACTTAGAATTGCAGCCGAATTGAAGTGCTCCTTTTTTGTTTCGAGCACTGATTTAGGGTGTTTTTTTTTACACAAATTCTGGTGCCGCAAAGACGCGCCGTAGAAGTAGAGTGATGTATGATTATAAAGCCCACCAGCCATGATTATATTGATATTAAATTACACTTGCGACTGCAAGTGCGTTGCAATCGGGTACTTGAATTTTATCCCGTAATTAAGAGTAATGAACGTTGTGAAGACTCTTTATATAGGTCTTGCTGATTTTTTTTCAGGAAAATGAGTTAAGTTTTATGCTTAGCTCATAGAGTAATTTCGGATAGGGTACATCGTCTGCTCGTCACGCTATCTTATTTTCGGCCCGATAGATTCGTGCAACTTCTTAGTCTAATACCGATCCTAGTCTTACTCTTATATCTACTAGTCTCAGGGTGTTTAACTAGTCTCTGCTAGGCTCAATAGATCTAGAGTATACTGGTTTATTGCGATTGCTGAAGTTCGCTTGGAGATGTAACTAATTTCTAAGTTAAGTTCAAATCTCTCTGGTGCTGAAAATACAAGTAATTTCAGCACTTACAAATAAGTGATTTGTTAGTTAGATGGATCATGATTGGTTAATTTTAAATGTTTTATAGTGATAAAATATCTAATTTATATCCAATAATAGAATGTAGGTTAGATCAGGTTCCACCCATCTGGGGTTTACAGAGTTTTGAGTTTTTATCTTTTCTTTTGTAATTGAAGGATGGATGATGAACGTTAAAATTTGGCGAACATCATTTTCTTATCCGGTTCCTCCTGAAGAAGAACGTTCCAGGATGCTGGAATTATTCGAAGTTGTTTGCTTGTCATTCGACAACGACTGTGATCCCCAATGAAATCAATCCGATTTCAAAATGGTTTGCTACGTCAGGTTTTTCTGTATTAGTAGAGAACTGTTTTGTGTTCATCCTCGTCTGGGAATGGCGTGAAGATCGTGTTTGGAAGGAATGCCTTGTAACTCGGATCTGTACGTATACTTGAACATCGAGGTGGTCATTGGTCTAGTTCAATGAAGTCCTTTTCTGCGAAGTCAAGTCGTACTCTAAATCCTTTGAGTTGTGATTGTGGACGGCATGTCGGTTGTTTAGCCATTCTTTAGGTCGAGTGTGATGGGATCGTCTTGCCTTTGGATGTTCGTCTTTGTTGTTGTGTATGATCTATATACTGCATATTATGATTTAGTTTTTATAAATTTTAGTTGATTTGGTTTTTTAATTACGATCTTGATTAGTTGTTTTCACAAAAGCGTTTTCTTTTAGTTCAGTAATTTTGAAGAGTTACTCACCCTAGAGTACCTCTTATTAAAAATTATATTGTGGTCACAAAGCGTGGGTGTAGCGTGGTGGGTTAGACCGGCTATAAGCATGCTCAGGACTTCCTCTCTGGTGGGTTAGGCCAGGAGTGGGAGTATGATTTCATGCTGTTTCTTTGAGAGGTCCTGTTATGTGATAACATTTTATGTTGGTTTTTTCTGGTTTTTCTTATGTTACTTTGGTTGTGTCCTTTTTTCAAAAATCAAATTGTTTTTGGTTTGGGTTTGTCTTACGACATTTTTGTGTTTTACTATATCTTTCTTAGACTTTATAATAGTCTTCAAAAGAATAAATTATCCAGTTTTAAGCTGGGTTAATTCGGTTTGGGTAACGTGGGTTTTCTTTTCTTAGTCATGCTGCTATTCTATGATTTATGGTGTTTAGTAAGCTGCGTTGGTTATTGTGGTTTACTATATAATTCCTTTCCAACTGGGTTAAAGAAAAGTTGGAAACTTGTTATTGCATGTTTGAGTTGTTGTTAGTGAAAACTTGAAACATAAAATCATTATTTTAAACAATTCTTCGTGGGCGAGCTGTGCGAGTTTTGGATAGCATTCCTGTGCGAATGAATGAAAATATTGAAAAGGTTAGTACTGCCTTCTCATTTTTACGAACTTATTGCTTATAAATTGAATTTTACTGCTTTTGGGGAATTTAAAAATTATAAATTTTCATCGTATCTAATTTTACTACTTCTTGGGGAAATAATTTATAAATAAAATTACTCCATTGGGTATGAATTTTACTACATTATTTAGTGCGAAAGATTGAGGAGTTTTATTATAACTTAACAAGTTTGTATTTTTATTTGTCTTTTTCTTTTTTGTAGATGACTGTAGTGTGAAGACTAAAACAATAAATTAAACAGTTATAGAAAATGGTTAATTCAGTTTTTAATTTATTAGTTAAAATTATTTAATTCATATTAACTTTATTCATCTGGGAAAAAGCCATGTGGGAAGATGTCGTGAATCATGTCTGATATTGTTAGTAACTTGGCTATTATGCGTATGACATTTTTAGTTTGTTGCAGTGGCCAAAGCAATTGAAGTGCGTTGATGGTGTTTAGTTCTTCGGTGCCTACTGCGAATTCATGTGGCGTGTTTTGGATTAGGTTGTAAATTTTATGATTATATTTAGTATTATGAGTAAATTCTAGTATGGGTATTTCGATAGGTTGTATGAATTCATGCGGAATCATGAAGGGTCGGGATTCTTCATCGTTGAAAGTCTTCGTGATGGGACAGAATATATACATTTGGGTAACTGGGTCATAGTTGCGGAGGATGCCTTGGAGGCTAGTATTTTTAATGCAGTATGTAAAGTGAAGAAAAAATGGTGATGCGTATTTAGAGTTAATAAATGTTAAACGATGGTGGGGTTGTCGTGATGGTGTGTGCAAATCAAAATGATTTTGTATAAAACGATAATATGTGTAGGTGTCCGTTTGTTTAGTGCGTAACATTATATCCTGGGAACAGTGCAAATCGCGTTCCTGTGATGAAAGGAAGTTAAAGGTTAGTGAAAATAACAGGAATTTATCAAAAGCTTCTGAAATTATATGATCGTGCTTTTTATCAATGATATTAAGTGTAAATAAGTATGGGGTTTCAATAAAAAAAATTTTCGGTTAGTTGCGGGTTTGCAAAACAGTCGTCGTCTAAAAATTGATCGTGGTTAGGGCGGATGATGTTATGATCGTAGTATTCAATTGAGTAATCGTTAGCTCGGGATGCGGTGAATGTTTTTAATAATTTTTTATATCCAACATACGTAAATTGTCGGGGTGTTAGTGATGTGGTGAGTCTATATAGTTCATTCTTGTTTCTTTCGATATCGTGTGTGGTGTTTTGAAGTGGTAAAGAAAGAGGGTTAGTGAAGTTGTAATAAGCGGTCCAATGAAGTGTAGGTATTAAAACATTCTCATCTACAAAATTATGTAGTTCTGCGTTAGTGTCAGATTGATTTAGGGTATTGTGGAAATAAGGGTAGAGTTATTTGAATGTAGTTTGCGGTGTTGGTGTGGTCTGGATGATTGAGATATTCTTTGGCTGTTCCGGGTTTGGTTGTGAAAGTGTGATTTGGAAACTTTCTCTTAAAAGTGCGGTAAGCTCGGTTAGTGCTGGTAGATGTTTCTGTTGATGTGGACGATTGAGCTAATGATGGAGTATAATCTGAAAGTGGTGTAGGTGTTGGTGGATTTGTTGATGTTGCTGTTGATGATAGTTAGTGTATAGTGAGTGTGTGGGGGTATGTTAATTGTTGTTGTAGTCTAATAAAATTTTCAAGTTCTTCAAAAATTGATGTGTTATCTGGGGAGTTATTATTCGATCTTTCGGAATTAAATGGAGAATAGGTTGGGGTTTCTTGGGTAAGCATGAGAGAGGGTGGAGAGGAATAAGAGTAGATGATTGGCTTGAATAGGTCGAAAGGGGGGCTTTGAAAAAGCTGAAGGGTTGGTCTGGGTATGGGTAGGGGGCGATGATTCGGAGTCTGCTAATTCATCGGGAGTTTCTACATTGGAGTTATTAAATTGGGGATGGTGTGAAAAACTGAAGTATCTGAGTTAGTATCAGAATCCGTGCTTGATGATACATTAATAACTGGTGCGTCGGTTGGCGGAAAAGCAAAAACTGGGATAATTTGGATTTGAGTTTGGAGGTTGGCTGGGTGGGAATTTGAGCGATGGAGGGATCCAATTGTCTGCTCATCGTGGGCTAAAAAAAAGATAATTTTGAGAGTGGTGGTATGGGGTTGTTTGACAATTTATTCATATGTATTGTCATTTTGTGGATCTTGTGTCATTATGTGTTGAATGGGGCTTTGTGTTATATTTAGTCTGAAATTTGGAGTATTTGTGATTGTTAGGTTTCGAAAACTTTGGGGAACTAATAATAATGGGTGGTTTTGTGGTAGGGTTGGTGTTTGTGTTGCTGTAGGTGTTATATTTGAATTACTATGTTCTTCGTCATATGTGTTTGGTCTTGTGGATATTTTTGTATTATATTCTTTAATTTGTGCATCGAGAAGTATTTTATTTATTGATGAGAATATTCCAAAAAATCCTGCAAATAATATACGTGCTACGCTTGCTTGTCGGTTTACGTGTGTATGTATAGCACATGTTTTATAGATTCCTTTTAAAAGTGAGAAAAAAAATCCTGGTTAAACATATAGGAATTCTCGCCTAGAAAGGCGAGAATTTCGTTTTTTAAGGTTACAAAACTGAAAATATTTATGGGTGAAATATCTTGTGGTCTATATTTTTCACCGTTTAAATATATATAATCTTTAATATATTTAAAATATCCGCTGTAGTCTTTTGTATAAATGTCTGAAAATCCTGCGGTTTCGGCAAGTTTTCTTAAATTCTGGTCGATTGATTGTCGCTGTTTTGTGTCCATTTGTGTTAGTAGTTCTTGGAACTGTTGTGTTCTAATGTGATGTTGTATATCAGATTTAGACTATATTCCTATTGATTGTAAATCAATGTTTGGGTTACGAGTGATAGCGCGAA